AAAAAATAATAGAGCAATTCTTCTGTTGCAAAGAACTCAGAAAGACTGCAACAAGTCAGAATGTTTTGACTTTGATCCTTTCAGTCAAGAGAAAGGGCCCAGGCAGGAGCAAATGCATCCTACAGATCAACTCCTGGCTGTGCAGGTGTTGTTGCTGGCAGGGCTTTGGCTTCTTGTTCCATGGGATGTTCTTCTGAGAAGTAGGATTGCTGGGAAGAGATGAGATCCACATGATGAAGAGAGGGAAGAGGGTCTTTGGTGTGGTGGGCTTTAAACTAAGTTTTCTAGGGGATAGAGACCAAAGCTGTGAGGTAAGTGGGGAAGTGAGTCACCTGGAGGAAAAGCAAGCAGGTGGGGGTTAAGAGGGGAGGTGCTCTCATACTTCCTGATAAATCAGGGCAATCAACTAGTTACTGTAGGTACCTGTACACAAATTCAAAGAGCCTGGGAAACAAGCAGGAAGAACTGGAAGTCCTCACACAATGATGGAACTATGACATGACTGGAATAACAGAGGCTTCCTGGGATAGCTCACATGACTAGAGCAGTGTCATGGATGGGTACAAACTGCTCAGGAAGGACAGGCAGGGGAGAAGAGAAGAAGTTGCACTTTATGTAAAAGAGCTCCAGTATGAAACTGGAGATAGGCCTCTTGAGAGTCTCTGGGTTAGGGTCAGAGGGAAAGCAACAAGGGTGATGTCATGGTGGGGGTCTGCTATAGACCACTAAACCAGGAGGAAGTGGTGGGTGAGGCCTTCTTCAAGGAGCTAGCGGAAGTTTCTGATCACAGGGTCTGGTTCTCATGGGGGACTTCAATAACCTTGACATCTGCTGGGAGGGCAATACAGCAGTGCACAGGTAATCCAGGAAGTTTTTGGAGAGTATTGGGGACAACTTCCTGGTGCAAGTGCTGAAGCAGCCTACTAAGGGCTGTGCTCTTCTTAACCTGCTGCTCAAAAAAAGGGAGGATTGATGGGGAATGTAGTGGATGGCACCTTGGGAAGCAGTTACCAGGAGATGATCCTGAGGAAAGGAAGGATGGAGAGCTGCAGAGTAAGGACCCTGGACTTCAGCAAAGCAGACTCTGACTCACTCAGGGAACTCATGGGCAGGATCCCCTGGGAAGCCAGACTGAGGGGGAGAGGAATCAAGGAGAGCTGGCTGTAATTTAAAGAAGCCTTATTGAGAATGCAGGAACAAACCATCCCAATGTGCAGGAAGACTAGCAAGTATGACAGAAGACTAGCTTGACTTAGCAGGGAACTCTTCAGTAAACGAAGTCACAAACAGGAAACTTGGACAAATAACGTTGCTCAGCATGTAGGGATGAAGTCAGGATGGCCAAAGCACAGCTGGAGTTGCAGCTAGCAAGGGATGTGAAGGGTAACAAAAAGGGTTTCTACAAGTAGGTTGGTAGCAAGAGGAGGATCAGGAAAAGCGCAGATCCCTTACTGAATGAAGGAGACAACCTTGTGACAGAGGATGCAGAAAAGGCTGAAGTGCTCAATGCCTTTTTTGCCTCAGTCTTCATAGGTAATGTCAATTCCAAGGCTACTGCACCACACAGCACTGTTTGGGGAGGAGGTGAGCAGCCAACAGTGGCAAAAGAACAGGTTAGGAACTACTTAGGAAAGCTGGACATATACAAATCCATGGGGCTGGATGGGATGCACCCAAGGCTGCTGAGGAAGTTGGCTGAGGTGATTACCCAACCACTGGCCATCATCTTTGAAAACTCATGGCAATCAGGAGAGGAGGTCCAAGATAATTGGAAAAGAGCAAACATAGTGCCCATATTTAAGAAAGGGAAAAAGGAGGATCCAGGGAACTACAGACCAGTCAACCTCACCTCAGTCCCTGGAAAATTATGGAGCAGATCTTCAAGGAATCCATTTCTAAGCACTTGGAGGAGAGGAAGGCAATTAGGAACAGCCAGCATGGATCACCAAGGACAGTCATGCCTGACCAACCTGATTGCCTTCTATGTTGAAATGATTGGCTCTGTGGATGTGGGGAGACTGGTGGATGTGGTGTACCTTGACTTTAGCAAGGCATTTGATACAGTCTTCCACAACCTTCTCGCAAGGAAGTTAAGGAAGTATGGGCTGGTTGAATGGACTGTAAGGTGGATAGAAAACTGGCTAAAGAATCAGGCTCAAAGGGTAGTAATCAATGGCTCAATGTCTAGTTGGCAGCCAGTATGGAGTGCTCCAGGGGTGGGTCCTGGTGCCAGTTTTGTTCCATGTCTTCATCAACAACCTGGAAGACGGCATAGAGTGCACCCTCATCAAGTTTGCAGATGACACCAAGCTGGGGGGAATAGTAGATACGCTGCAAGGATTCAGAGTGACCTAGAAAAATTGGAGGATTAGGCCACAAGGAATTTCATGAGGTTCAACAAGGACAAATGCAAAGTCCTGCATTTAGGACGGAACAATGCTGGGGGCTGACTGGATGAACAGCAACTCTGCAGAAAAGGGGGTTACAGTGGACAATAAGCTGAACATGAGCCAGCAGTGTGCCTTTGTTGCCAAGAAGGCTAATGATATACTGGGCTGCACTGGTAGGTGTGTTGCCAGTAGGTCAAGGAAAGTGATTATTCCCCTCTATTCTATACTGGTGAAGACACATCTGGAGTACTGTGTTCAGTTTTGGGCCCACCACTACAGAATGGACATGGACAAATTGGAGAGAGTCCAGTGGAGGAGAACAAAAATGGTGAGGGGACTGGGGCACATGACTTATGAGGACAGGCTGAGGGAACTGGGCTTATTTAGTCTAGAGGAGAGAAGACTGAGGCGGGATTTAATAGCAGCCTTCAACTACCTGAAGGACGGGTTTCAAAAGAGGATGGAGCTAGACTGTTCTCAGTGGTGGCAGATGACAGAACAAGGAGCAATGGTGTCAAGTTGCAGCAAGGGAAGTTTAGGTTAGCTATTAGGAAGAATTTTCTTACTAGGAGGGTAGTAAAACACTGGAACAGCTTACCCAGAGAAGTGGTACAATTTCCATCCTTGGAGGTTTTTAAGACCAGGCTTTGGTTATGATGATCTAGTTGGGGATGGTCATGCTTTGAGCAGGGAGTTGGAACAGATAACCTCCTGAGGTCTTTTCCAACCACTGATGATGTGTAGGGGTTGCATGTGGGTGCATGTGCACCCCCTGAGCTTCGTGGTGCACCCTCTGCAAAAAGTGCTGCCAACACTGCCAGTGGCACCTGTGGGCAGTCGCCACTCGCCACCACCTTCCCCCACCCCCACCAGCAGCATCTGCCGGAAGTCCCTGACCACTGCTGGCCACTCTTGATGTTGTCAACAGCATCTGTGGGTGGTCATCGACTGCTGGTTGGCACTTGTCACCCCTCAACCTGCCACTGTTACCGCCGTGGCTGCCTGCGGGAGCTCCCCACCTGCTGCCGCAGTGCCCATGCTGCTGACAC